GGACGCCGGCGAGCTCCGCGGGCGGGCGCCTGCGCGTGGGGCGCAAGCCCCGGAAGTAGGAAGTTGCTGGCTTCTCGCTCAGGATGCTGCTCGGTGTGGGTGTCTGGGGCGGCAAAGGGATGGGTGCTTGGGCCCTCCGGGTGCTTCCTGGTCCCGGTTTTTATTCCTAGCACGTCTCCACCCCGGGGCGCTGGGGCTGCGAGTAATGTCAGCCAGCCAGCAGCTCCAGAGCCAATCTTTATCAGAGTCTAGAGCACCAGCTCCAAGGGGCAGAAACCAGCTCATTCAACAAGCTCAATTTTAACTGTCTCTGGTGATTAAAAGGCAGCACTCGTCAGGAACCTGTGAAGCCGGTTCCCCTCCACAAAAAGCAGTGATTTCCTTTACCTCTGGGAGAAGGAACAAATGGCTGCCTGTGCTACCTATTACCATATCAAAGCTCATGCTGGCTTCCAGGCTCCCGCAGTTACATATGCAAAGTCCATGCTAGGACTTCTTACCTCCTCCCCTGTTGTATATAAACTCTCTCCAGGTCACTTATCTCCTCCTTGCAGCCCTGCTATTCTATTAATATTCTCTCTGTCTGTCTCTCCCTCCCTCTGAAGGACCAAAAATTAAAATTAATAAAAATTTAAAAACTTGGGCTCTGAAAAGGGAACTTCTGATGACTGGGAATGCCATGGCTGGTGCCTGAGTCCCGCTCTCAGAGAAGGATAGGTGACCTTCCACCACTTGGGTCAAAATTCCTATGTCTGCTAATTGCTGGTCATAAGGTTGTAAAGATCCCTTGGCCCAGGGGTAACTGACAGACCTGTGACCCTGCAACCCCATGCCCTGTCTTATCTTACTCAAATGTATCTTGCTTAAAATATATAGTTACTGCTTTACTTTGTACTTTGTATTGTAAGACACCCCCCCCCCCCCGGAAACTCAGGCCTCCAGGATCTCAGCCCAGGACCTGGGTAACCCCAATCACCGGGCGGAGTCGAAAGCTTGATGCAAACTGCATGAGGCTTTATTATAGTTGTTTAACGAGCTAACCCCATGTTAGCTCAGGTCTTTCATCCACCCACCACGGTGGATGGCTAGAAAGACGGCTCCAAGCGTCTGCATAGAGATCTTATAGGGCGGCGTAAGGGTAGTGTCTAGGGGTATGCACAGGCTCAGGGTTGCTGTGCCTCCAGGCTTGGAGGGCTTGCCCCGTGTTGACTGGCCAACTGGTTGTTATGGCCCATAGGCCCTCCCAGAGTGTGGTTGCTATGCTCTGCATGTCATTACTGTGCACTTGTCTGAAAAGCACACCCAGAGCCGTAAAGCATAGCACCACCAGCTAATTTCTGATTGGTTCCTTGCCACGCGGCAGGCACCTAACCTCTAGTGACTAAGGCAAGGTCAGACAAGCACTTGTTCGGCTGTTATGGCTGCCGAAATGGGGAGCTGTCCCTTCAGTATGACTTTAACTAACCACGGAAACTCTGAAACTTGTGGCCTTCAACCTTATAGTCTTCCCCTTTAAAAGCTTCTCTTTATGGCTGGTTGGCATCTCATCTCCCTGCTATGAGTGAGATCCAAGCTGGCCAGTTTGAACAATAAGAAACCTTTGTTTTTGAATCGGAGTTGTCAGCTCCTTGGGTCAGTCTGGGGCTCCAGGAAGCTAGCACACCTATCCTCCTCCTCCCCACCCTCCTCTGCTCCTGCTTCTATCACTATGTTTTGTCTGTTCTCTGTCCCCTGAATTTTAATCCCAGCCCTTGGGAGGCAGAGGCAGATGGATCTCTGTGAGTTCTAGGCCAGTCTGGTCTACAGAGCTAGATCCAGGACAGCTGGGGCTATGAAACAGACAAAACCCTGTCTCAAAAAAGCAAAACAAACAAACAAACAAAAAGGGCCTCAAGAGGCCAGCAGGAGCTATTCTCTCAAATGCTGAAGTAGGGTGAGATAGCTGGCCAATCTTGGGTGCACCCCCAAATACAGCTTGTCTTAATTGGACAATCATAGGTTTGAATATTTCTTCTCGAGATTCTCCAATTTACAAGTGAGTGATTCACTGACATTGTTAATTAGGCTGCTTAACTAGTTACCTGTGAGCATAATTTTTAGGGAATGAGTGGAATAAGGCCCAACCACATAAAATTGAGGGACAGAACAATCCAAGCAATGGAAGCAGGCAATGCAATTCTGGGAAAAGAGGAAGGAAAAAACTTGTCATTGGGTCTTAAAAGTGGTGAGCTTTAAATTTTTATCTCCTGTCTAGGCATGGTGATTGTTATCTTTAATCCCATTTGTCAGGAGCCTGAGGCTGGCTGAGCTCTGTGAGTTCGCCGCCAGCCTGGTTTACATACTGAGTTCCAAGCCAGCCAAAGCTACGTAGTGAAATCCTGTTTCAAAATAAGTGAAATAAAACCCACAACATTTTGTCATCAGTAAAAAACAAGAAGGCTAGTTTTACCCAAAATTTAAGTAAACATTCTACTGTCCAGTTTAACCATTTATCACATGACTATTTTTTTTTAAGATTTTTATTTATTATGAATACAGTGTTCTACCTGATGGGGGATGTCCTTCTGTATATATACTTCTCTTACTGGTTGATTAATAAAACACTGATTGGCCAGTAGCCAGGCAGGAAGTATAGGCAGGGCTACCATAGGAGGAAAATTCTGGGGAAAGGACTCAGAGAAACCACCAGGGAGATGCCATGTAGCCACCAGGAAGGCATGATGCCAGGCATTCTCTAGTAAGATAAGGCCACGTAGAAATATATAGATTAATAGTTATGAGTTAATAATTAAGAGAGCTAGCCAGTAAGAAGCCTAAGCTATTGGCCAAACAGTTTATAAATAAGTCTCTGTGTGATTGTTTGGGGCTAAATGACTGTGGGAACAGGTGGGACAGAAACTCCACTTACATCTACCTGCATGTACAGATAATGAGATATACAGATCTCATTACAGATGGCTGTGAGCCACCTTGTGTTTGCTGGGAATTGAACTCATGACTTCTGGGAGAGCAGCCAGTGCTCTTAACCTCTGAGCCATCTCTCCAGCCCTACACAACCATCTTAGTACAGTTTTACCTAATGACTAATGTTTTAATATGTCATCTCTAATCTGTTAGGTCTTCACATATACAGAAATGAGTTCAAGCTGAACTATAGAGGGATTTCTGGTGGTTAGACAAAAACCAGCATACCTCAGAAACATGAGCCCCCCCTCCCCCCACACACACAAAGGACTCATTTCCCTTTCCCATGGCCGAAGGGACATAAGATTCTCTCTCTACAGTATACATGTGTGGTTGCAAGTGTATCAATGTTCATGTTAGCTTCCAGGCCCCCTCAGTCCCCATTCATGAATATCCACTATACATTGCAAAGCCCTCACACTAGCCTCCTGGCCCCTTTCAGCTCAGATCCTAACTCTCTTGGTACTCCTACCCCTGCCTACTCTAGTTTTTATCTTGCTATCTCCAGTCTTCTCTCCCACTCTCCTGCTTCCCTAGCCCTGCCCATGTCCACTCGACTTCCTCTTTCTGCTCTAGACTCTTCCAGATGCCTTTGAATATTTTTCTCTTTTATTCACAATAAAAACCTTCCCCCATTCAATGGATCAACAGTTTCAGTGGTTTCTTTACCTGGCCCCTTTGCACTCCCAACCAGCTGTTCTTTTATTGTGTTGCTTACTTTTACCTGTTTTGCTATTGACATACATCCACATGTAATTTTCTCAGTGATTGTGGTCTCTACTGAGGTCTGTTTGGTTTAACTCGTGTCTCAGAAGGCTTGGCACAAAGTGTGCAGTTACTCATTCATCAGCAAACAATATTCAGAATAGTTTACACTGTAACATTTTCCTTTAATTCCTTTCAGTTTTGTTTTAAGATACAGCAAAGTGAAGGCTAAGTTTGAGAGGATCATTAAGTTTGAGGCCGGTCCTGGCTTTAGAAATAAATGGCTTGAGTAAAAAAAAAAATGATGATGATGATGATGATGATACTTCTCACTCTTTAACGTAGGGAGACGGCTACCGGCGGCGGGGGGAAAAGGCGTTTGCCACTATGTAACTGAGGTCACCCTGGGAGTTACATAGTAGCGTATAGAACCAATTCCAGAAAGTTGTCCTTTGATTGGCTGACAGGCACTCATGCTCAAAATAAATACCGTTTCTTTCTTTACTTATTATTACTCCATCGTCTGGTTTTGCATGGCAGGGTTTCTCTGTGCAGTCCTGGAACCCTCTTTCTCCGTGGACCAGGCTGGCCTCGAACTCAGAGATCCCCCCGGAGGGCCGAACTGAAGGCGTGCACCTTTCCAGCCGGGCAAACCGGGTTCTGAGAAAGTCTCGCCGTTGCTGCTTACCTTTTGTATTCGGGCAGGGTGCGGAAAGGCTATTTCAAGGCCATCTAGGAGCTCAATTTTACAAGCGCACAGGACAGAATTCAGGGGGACGAGAGGCCTTCTTCGCAGGTTGCTCTCGGCCATCCTGCAGCAGCAACGTATTC